TATATATTCAATTGTTAGTCTCACATTTTATATGGTCAGCAATGTTATGTTAACTCCTTGAGTTTCTGTGCTTTTTAATTCAAGACTGAGTAGCTTTTATCCCTATCTCAATTATCATTTGAAATATCTGAACTGGTATTTGAAAGCTGGTCTACAATTAAAAGTGTCAACAAGTCAACTACACAATTTATAGAATCATGGAATGGCTGAGGTCTTGTCCAGCTCCTGACAAAATGCAGGTTGTAAACAGCTGTGTCCAGTTGAGTTTTACCTGGATGGAGACTCCATAACCTATCTGGGAAACCTGCTCCAGTATTTGATCACCCTTAAAATATGAGGGACAGAGTAAATTACTCACTTTCAGTTAACAATTATATTGACAATTCTGAGGAAAAAGAAACCAACAAAACAAACAACTAAACAACAAAAAACCAAGAAACCAAAACCTTTTTTTTTGGGTGCTGTTGCTTATTCTACTTAGAAAATTTATCATAGATACTAGCAAAGCTTGGAGTTTATTTTTTCCCAAAAGAAGCTTCCTTCATAAGAGTGCAAGTTTTTGATATCTTAAAAATACATAGGACACACCTCCTATTTCTGGATGTTTAGAGTATGTCATCAAAACAGAATTTAGGTCAAAGAATCTTAAGTAAATAGAAACACACATAAAACCTTGGAAATTCATACTTACGAAATAGACCTGTTGATTCTTTTCTATGCATAAGCATGCATAGAAAAAAAATTAGGTAAGGTTTGTTTTAACTTTCAACTTTCTTTAAAAATATCTTACATAGCCTAAAATATAACACTAATAAGACTATTTCTTCTTTAAAGAGTACTGGAAAACTAATCACAAATTACTAAAAAACCTAAGGAATTTAATGTTTGAAATTAACATGAGGAAGAAAATTTTATACACTGGAGTCAAATGCAAGGAAATATATTTAGGAAACCATTCACAAGATTTTTCCAGGTATTTTAAAGTACAGAGCTAAAGACATTACTACCACAGTCTCAGTAGATATTTGCTACTTTCCACTAGAAACTAAGAAACACATACGATCAAAAATAAAATAATTATATTGTCAAAAAAACCTCCCAACAAATCAACAGCAAAAAAACCCAAAACAGACTCCAGGATCTCTTACTTCTCAAATAGTAAAACTGAATGGTGAAATTGAGTTTATATAATACCTTAATCTGAAAAAAGAAAACAATAAACCAACTTTAAAAGTGAACATTAGCACACAAACGCCTCTTCTCTTCCAGCAAGTAAATATGAAAATTCATTCTTTCCCCAAATTTGTATTTTCAAACAAAACTGCATCATGGTTGATTTTCAAATGTAGAGACAGTCACAGAAGACAGTGCATAAATTTCCACACTGACCATCAAATTCAAATCATTATTTTGATTCATAAAAATGTCAAATGTCTATACAATGTTCATTTGGCTGTGTGCAATCACTTTCACTGAAAAATCTGGCCCAAAAGATGGATTATATGTATAAAATACCAAGAAATCTTGCACCACCAATACACTGTTTTATGCATCATAAACTATGGAACAGAATTACTTCTCTCAATAGATCTGCATCATCACCAGAGCTTCTGCCTGGCTGTATCAGGTGGTTACTATGATTTTCTTCCTCCTTCTGTACTTCAATAATTATGCCAGCAGAATACACTTAAAACATACCAATCTTAACATTTCAAAGCACAGAACAGATAATAATTTATGTCTGCAACACTAAGAAGGGAGCAGATATTTTACATACCTGGAAATCAAAGAAAGGTGAAGTGCTTTGTCTAAAGGCTCTTGGAAGAAATGAGTAACAAAGCCATAATTAAAATTCAACATCAAGCTTCATGTTAATCCTCTAGACCTAACTGTCTTTTTTCAAAGTGCATGATTTGGAACATCAAAACAAGAATCAATTCAGTCCCTTTTCTCAATACATGCTTTCATGATAAAATAAAACACCACATTCAGCTTCTTCCTACATATTCACACGAACAATCATCTTTCTTAGCAATCAAACTCATGAATTCACTTTGTATTACAAAAAACAATTACAAAGAAAGTCAAGTCACATGTAAAATTTAAATTCCACATTCAGTTTGGCTTCTACCTCTGTGTACCGAGGAGCCCACAGGAAAACACACGTACGTGCCAGGTATGCTAGTAAACCAACTTGTACTAGACCAATTTAATTAGTTTGCTTTCAATGCAAAGGTGCAGCACCTCAGCAATTATGAGATCGTTAATACAAGAGAGCATAACAGCACCTTTAGAGATCTTGTCTAACCTCTAGGCACACATATAACTCCCATTAAGACTAATGGGAGTCACATGTGTGTATCCAAGGGAGAAGAGACCCATTAAAACTGATACAACATATCCATTAATCTTCAGGTCACTCTTAAGGTCAAACATTATAAAAATGTTTATGAACAGTACTTGCTAGGTATTCACAGTGGCTACTTTGGTTTGGTACAGACCTGTGAGCAGTTAAGGCCATGGAAAATGTCTGCATTAAAAGCATCACTGTGTTTCAAGTAGTGGCACAGAAATTTGAGAGTGCTTTTCTATAGTCAGAGGAGACATTTTTCTATCATATCCTGAAAGAATTAGAAGGGTAGAAATGACAGGGAAGGTTAGACACAAATGAAAACCTTGGACAAAGGAATGCTTTAGCTTTTCATTTTTCTTCCATCCCCCTCTCTTTCTTCATATTTCAGTACCTTAGTTGTGGTTTTCTGCTTCGGGAAGAATATTAACAGCAGTGACAAAAATTCCCAATCCATGCAGCCTACTACAAAGACACTACAAATAACATTTTGATTACTGAACCACCAGCAAACCACAATAATTTAAGTACTGTTTGCATGGAGGAAAGGGTGTTTAAAGTGTTTCAAAGAGAAAGGTAATCTTAGCTTGCTCTCTATTTCTTTAGAGAGCACACCTGAAAACTCCCTTTTTCATCCCTGTAGTATATTTTACACAAGCATGTTCCTTTCCAGTTTCTGAAAACATAAGTTTATCCAGTCTGTAAAACCAACCTGTTCAGCAATGAAATTGCTGTCTTTATCCACATTCAGGCCTGAGGAAAGACAGAGAATTCTCAGCAGCATCAAGGCCAGATGACCTCCATATGAACAAAGCAGATGTAATAGCAGGAGGAAATGTGAGTGTCAGATGAGTGCAGAAATGAGGAAACACTTTGGATATGAAGCACCCCTATTTGTTTACTGCTTATTTCGGCAACTGGAGTAAACAAGACAAGGTGTCTTCATCAAGAGTTACTCATGGATAGTTCTGAAACTCAGCCTCGAGAACTCAGGTTGAAACTCTTACTCTTCATGCAAGACTTGTTCAGCACTGCCCTTATACTTCCTGCTACAGGGTCTGTAAGTATTCCAAGCATTGACAAGTTAGCCCTGCAAGCTTTAGTTCAGACTTCCTGTGACGGACACAGATAGCCAGCTGCCTCTGCACTGTCAGGTCAAAACAGAGGCAAGGGTTCACCTAGAAAGCTTGGCTCCCAGAGACAGCCACAGCATCAGCCCCACCACAAAAAGCACTTTGCTTCACTCTTGAGCTGCAGGTCTTCTACTGTCTTCCTCTGTGATGCCCTCCTGACACAAACTCTCACTTCAGAAGATTTTAAATTACACACTCTCCACAGAGCCCCATACAAGGAAGTGTTTTTCATTGTTCCTAATTCAAATATACAATGATAAAATAATGATAATAAATTAATTTCATGATTCAATTAACTACTTCTGAGCAGAATTAAATCATTACATGGTTTTGTTTTAAAAACAAAGCAAACATTACCCTAAATACCTTGGTGTACATAGTGTACTATTTAAATATTTGGGGGTGATTGTTTTTTATTAGAGGTAATAAGCTTTCCACCTCAATGTCTTCCCATTAAACAGAAGAATCTTTCTAGCTCAAAACATAGTTATCTCATTTTGCTTAAAATGCTCTTTTCATACAAAAAAGATCTAATCCCCTTTTTGTGAAATCATGTGAATTCGCCCTATTCACTTCAAGCAGGTATTCTAAAAGAGGAATTACTCATCATTAACAAAGTTACGCATCTGTTTTGCCTAACTGCTTTATCACTGTGAAAAACTACATGTAAATATTGAACAGAACTGTTCTTTCAGGATCCTGATATTCATAAATGTCTGCATTTTCTTTTGTGGTACCTGAGGTATTCCAAAGTGCTATTTAATTTCTCATGAGTTACAAAAAAATAGTACAGAATCCAACAATATGTGCCTACGGAACGCCCCCTCAGCAGAGATAACCTCAGGAAGTTATCTGAAGAACTATATAACCTTTAATGTTACCTGGGAACCTGTGTTCATGAATATGTCAAAACTAAATTTAGTTATGGTTTGGAAATGAATAAATCACTATTTTAGTATCTTTTAACTTTTATTTAACAAGCATTGACAACGCCCCCCAACCTGTTCAGAGTTCTCTTTTCTTCCCAGAACAGTAATAGCCAACTTCACAGTGCAGTTTGCCTCACCTAAGGCGTACAACACAATTAAATTATAGCTCTTGAATCACCTAAAACACTTTCGAGCCCGTGAGGGAAAACCTGACACCGATGCCAGGAACTAACCGAGCACGCACGTATGGAGCAGCGCATTCGCTGCAGGAACACGGCCCGCAGTGCCCGCAGGCTGCTTCCCCATCTGCTCGCTTCTCCTCCCACAGGCCTGTGAGTCCTGACCGCAAACGCTCCGCAGGCCTCCCCATGGACTCCACCCCACACCGCCCTCAACTCCAAGCCGCTCGGTGACCACGCCACCCCAGGCCAGGAGTCTCTTCACGCCCACACCAGCGGCCCCGGGCAGGAGCCGCTACAGGCTCGGAACACACCGGGCCCGCCGACCCGGGAGCACCGGCCCGGGGCCGCCCCGCCCCCCTCCGCCATTGGCTGCTGCGCCTCACCCCGAGCCGCTGATTTGCTGCTCGGGCTGTCAGTCAAGCAGCGCGCGGCCCGCCCTGCCGCGGCCGCCGTACGGGGAGCGCTTCCCGCGCGCCGTCCGGGTCTCCCGGAGCGCTTCCTGCGCAGCCGCGCCGGGCGCTGGCCGGCGCACAGCTGTCCTTGCGGCCGCTCCGCTCCGGGCTGCTGCCGCTGTCACCGGCTGCCGGGACGGTGCCCGCGGGCCGGGGCGGCTCCGTCCGCGCAGAGCTTCGCTGAGAGGCTCGAGGCTGAGCCCGGCGCACCCGCGGAGTCGCGCAGGGCCGGGCCCAGCGGCGGCGCAGGTCAGTCGGGACGCGGGGCGGGACGGAGCGGCCGCGGCGGGCGGGAGCCGCTGCAGGGGCCGCGGCCTTCGGCGGAGCCCAGCCCGGCAGGCCCGGGCAGTCCCTTTGGCTCAGGCCCCGGAGCTCATGCAGGACCTGCTTATAAAAACTTGTGTTTGGGCTCCTGCAGTCGCCGGTCGCCCCCGTTCCGCCTCCTGGTGCCGCAGCGTGCAGAGACGGGGAGCATCCAGCTAGGCCCAGGCGTGCGGTAAGAGAGGACAGAGCCTGGTGACGACCTCTGCGGAGAAAAAAAGGGTATAATATCCTGTCAGAGGGGTATCATCATCTGAATTGTGGTATCAGTTGAGAGACTGAAACTTTTATACTCTTCGAGGGTCATTCCTCTAACTGCCTACTGTAGGTGGCAAAGAAGTCTGAAAATTAGGGTAGCAACTTCTCGCTTTTGTTAATCCAGTTTTGTGCAGCCTGTAAGTAACAAATCATTGGTTCCCTAGAAAGTAAATGTGGATTTATTCTGAATGGCCAATGTGTTTTGACCAACAGACAAACTCTGCTTATGACGTAGTCCATAGTGGAGACCACAGCACTGTGTTTCTTGTATGATCTTTTACCTGTCAGCGTGAGGGAGGTGTTCCCTAAGGTCAAAGATGAAGTATGACTAAACTTGGTACTAAATGAAGTAAAGTTTGTACTAAAACTTGAGTCCGAAATACTTTGCCATTTGATTTCATTGGAAGTTAGTTCTTGTCAGACTTTTTTTGAGCTTTTCTTGACATACAGTTTAGCAACAGTTGATAAAGTTGTGGGTTTTTTTTAAACTAATGCTATTTTAATTCTTTTGGGAGATGTGTTCTATCAGCGTTTTCTTCTTCAGTTTTTTTTTCATCTTTCTGCTGCAGTTCCTCCTCAGCAGCAGCTTCAGTTCTTGGCTGTCCATCATGGCTAGTTTATCTAGTAAAGTGATTAGTAGTAAAAAAACTGAAAGTGTCATTGGTGGAACTTAATTAGAGTAGTAAATAAGCTATTAAAGGGAGGAAAAATTAAAGTTTTGGGGTTTGGTTTTTTTTTCAGTGCTTGTTTATACTGCATGAAGCCATCAATTTCCATTACTTGCCTATGGGGTTAAATTTGCATGTGTGAAATGTATAAATTAGCTCATTAAAAGAGCTTTTTTTTTTCTTTTCTTTACAATTTTTAGTGGAAATTTAATAAACCAGTAGGGCACATAATCAAGAGTACTGAAGGGATTTGACACTTATATTTTAATTTTTCTGGAATTTGGTACAGAAATAGATGATCATGTCAGTATTGAAACGTCTACTTTGGTTGCTAGTGCCTCTAGCATTAGATATTAGTAAGAATACTGTTTTGGAGTTAGTGCTGTGTTGGTGGTTGGTCTTGATGTTCTTAAAGGTCTCTTCCAATCTTGATGATTCTAGGCTTCTGTGATTTACTCTTTTAATTACCATGCTGATTGTAGTGTTCTCCATATCATAAAGTTTTTGATTGAGTCTGTGAATTAGAAAGTGGAATACGTTTAAAGCTGTTATCTGTGAAGGTTTTGTAAGGATCTTCTGTTGCACCCACTTTCTTGCCTGCTAGTCTGGATTTTTTGGGAAGAGTCTAAAAGAGGTGGGGTGTTTGTGCCTTTTTATGTAGTGAGAGTTTGTGTGTGTATCAATATTTGAAAAACCTCAGTGTTATGTGTATATATTTGCAGTTTTTAAAGTAGGAATTGAGGATGTTTATTGTTGAGTACAGTGTATTGTGGAATTGCATTAATCTGGGACCAAGGCAACGGAAATAGCTCTGCTTAGCATCTTGCCTCTATTTTCACATCCTTTTAACTCCTAGGCTTAGCTTTGTTCAAACTTGGGTTTTTATTTGTCAAGAACACCCTTTTCAGCAAATGAAAAAAATCTGTTCCCATTAATGTTGCTTTAATTAAGTAAATAATTTAAATTAGATATCTCTCTGCAAGAATGTCAAAATACCTTTTGCTTTTCTTAGAAATGTTGAAAACTGTAAAGTAATAGTAGTGAGCTTACATATATTTGAATCAACTCATGCTTATATATCTCATAGCTAATCTTAGAACTCTTAGTACAGTAGTACAGACATATAAAACACCATGTTCTGAATTTATTTTTTAAAATATTTTATTTCTTAGGTAATGATCCTTCAGATGCATTATGGATCCACCCACTTATTAAAGGACTCCCAAGTAGCTAGAATGGCATGCCTCAGCTCATGTTTCTAGAGTATTAGGGACTAGGCTAGATATATGTCTGTCCTGTGCAAGGAGGGTGTTTTGACTTGGGAGAGAATGTTTTGTTTGTTTGACAGCTCTGTTTGTCTCCTATTTGATTATTTCATTATTCACCCATGTCTGTAGGTGAAGACTGTAGGTTAATTTCATTAAACATTGTAGAGACTCACAGAAAGGTTTTGATACTTAAGATGATCCGGGACACGCAGGAAGTAAATGTTCCTGTAACGTACTAAATTAAATTAAACTAAAACATTCAAACAGGTATTATTAGTACAAAAAGACTTTATTGTACCCTTTGTACAGTAGAGTAGGACAGGTAATTTTTATACGCAGATTTTGAGTATAAACAAAACAGTTTTTCACACTGTTACTAATCCGAGGACCTTAATTTGTTCTTTGACATCAAATGCTGTTGTGTAAGCCAAGAAAGCCATTTTACCCTCTCTGTTTATAGTCTTTTGAGGTGACAGTCTTGAAAATGGCTAAAAACTGCTACCTAGAGAATATTTGGGAAGGAAGGAAACAGGTTTATGGCTATGTAGTATCAATACCAAGAATATGGTGTAAAATAAATGGCTCTTCAATATATAAATCATCCAAGTGTAGGGAGTGATAACTGAATCCAGTATTAGCATATAGCTGGATATAATAATGAAGCACATGGTCTTTCAGGGAGGAAAAAAAACCCCTAAATGTTTAATTACATGTTCAAAATGTGAGACAGTGGGAATGTCTTTTCTATTTTTTTAAACATATGAAAGTAGTTTCAAAGCCATGCGGTTCAGAGAGAAGGGAAGGGGGAACAAAGAAGGGAAGAGATGGACAGGTTCTTGAAGGGAAATTAGTAGTAAGTTAAACAGTAGACAAAATCAGTCAACAATTTGAGACTATAATTCAAGTACCTTGTTACTCATGTGTTTTATTTCTCTGTTGGTTATAATGGCCTGCTCTTGCAAAAGTTTCAAAAATTCCACAGCACTGTTGTTGCGCTTGGAATTTCTGCATTTATTCAGTGAAAACAACAATCAAGAAGATGTAAAGAAACAAATAAATTGGGTCCAGCTAACACTGACTGATAAGCTTCAGACATAAAGAGAATTTCATTGAATTAGCATGTAAGCATGGTGTGCTCCAATAATAATAATTAAGATAACAAGAAATGTAAATAAACATTTGAATTAAAAGATAGCACTGTATTTAATAAGAAATGTTCTTCTTATACTACAATAAATTCATTCTATATTAATGTCAGTCTAACTGAAGAATAAGATATATTACTTTTTTGATACCTTGGTTCTTAAACCTTTTAGGTATTTAATGATTTTTGGGCAGAGAGGGCTTTTTTTAAGACTCTCTAGGTAATAACTTTTTCAATAAAGAAGTTCACTGTGTTTGTGCCAGTTTAGCAATATTTCCTTTAAGCTATATGGTCCCTGACAGAAACTAATGTAATCTATTTCTTATTCAGTCTGTTAGTGATATTAGTGCTGGCTTTCTCTGAGAGCCTGGCTTAAGAATAAGAAAGTAAGATTGTTGCCCTGGAATTTAGGAAAGCAGGCTCTGGCCTCTTCAGGGACGTACTTGGAAGAATCCCCCAGGGTCAGGCCCCTGGAGGGATGCAGCAAAGCTGGTTGGTACTCAGGGATCATCTCCTCAGAGCTGAGGAGCAGTCCACCCCAGCAGTTATGAAGTCAGGCTAAAATGCCAGCAGCCGTGCATTGATGAACAGGAACTCATCACAAAAGTCAGACATTAAAAGTAAATGTGCAGAAGCAAGAGCACATAGCCTGGGAGCAGCAGAGAGTGTCTGAGCATGCATGGATGTGATTAGGAAAGTCAGACTCTACCTGGAGTTGAATCTGGTGATGGATGTCATAGACTACAAGAATGGCTTCTATAAATACACGAGTAGCAGGAGGAATACTAGGGAAAATGTGGTCTCATGCCTGAATGAGCAGGAAATGTGGAAAAGGCTGAGGTTATGCAGGCTGCCTTTGCTTCTGTCTCTACTAGAAAAGACCTTCAGGAACCGTAGAACGCAGGGAAAAGTCTGGAGCAGGGAAGATGTACACTTGGAAGAGGTTTAGGTCAGAGAATACTTAAATAAAGAGGACATAGATAACGCTCTGGGAATGAGCCCATGAGTGCTGAGGGAGCTGGCTGATGTAATTGTGGGGACGGTCTCAATAATCGTCGGACTGGGAGATTGAGGAACTGGGAGAAGTGCCTGTAGACTGTTTTCTTCTGTTTTCAAAAGGGCAGGAAGAAGTCCTCAGGGAACTACAGCCTGATCAGCTTTACCTTGATCCCCCACAAGGATGGAAGGTGATGCAGCAGCTAATCCTTGAAAGCCTTCTAAGACACATTAAAGAAAATGATCAGGAGTAGTCAACATAGATTTACCAAGAGGAAGCCATTCTTGACCAACCTGATAATTTTCTACAATGAAATGACTGGTGTGGTAAATAAGGGGAGGGAGGAGAAGATACTTGCATCAATAAGTCTTTAGCAGTGTCTCCTGTGACATCCTCTTGGAGAAGTTGCTGCAGTATGGGCTGGGTGAGCAAACAGTCAGGTCAGCATAAAATGTGCTGAACAGATGGACCACAGGGAATGGCAATCAGTGGTGAGAAGTCGAGTTGGAAGCTGGTAACTACTGTTGTACCCCAGGGGTCAGTACTGTGTTCAGCCCTGTTTAACATGATCTGGATGATGCAATGTGCAGTTAGAAGATGATAATTTTGTCAATTAAAATCAGTCTTTCAGTGAAATACCCTAATGTAAATGTCTCCCCAGCAAGGTCTGGTTCCCAAATGTTAGCTATTTAGGAAGAACATCTGAATTAATGCAGTTTTTCAGAGCATCTAGAAAGTGAATTAAAATTTTCAACCTAAATGATAGTATGTTGTTTATGACTCAAAATGGAAATGTATTCACTCAGTGTATTGCTGCTCCAGTTAATGAGGACAGCTGCT